ATCTCCGGCGCGGCAGCCGGAGGAGCCCGGCGGAAGGGAGGAAGACAAGCTCGATTTGAGGGTTTTCTCTGTTTTGGGGGAAAATACGAGAAGAGAGAGAAAAATCTTTTCTATAATATGTAGTAGTTATACAGCATTTCCTCTTTCATATTTGTTTATTTGTTTTCAGTTACAGAATTACAAAGTTCTGCTTTTTCATAAAACCTCCTTTATTCAATTAGTTGGTAGGTTGGAAATGTTACCACAAATACACACCATGTCACGTGATAAAAATCTGAGTACTTTTAGGAAATCCACTTTCATCAAAATAGTTATCATCAAATTAACAATGATCAACATATAAATATAAAGAATATAAATTACTAGAAAAAATATTATATATAGTTAATAATTTTTCCTCTAAAAAACTTATGTGAGTTGTATTGCAAGTTTCATTTTGCAGTTGGCCTTTTTTAATTTTTGGAGCTGTTATCCATTAAACAGTGATTCACGAGAAATATTTCACTACAAAGCTATAACAAATTATTAATAATAATAATAATAATAATAAAATCACTTTAAGCAAATACTGTACATTGTTGAGAACTTTTGTATGCTTCAAAAGAAGATTAGCTAAACATAATGCGTATACACAGGCATAATTTGCTTATTTTGTAAGTGGAATTAATCAGTCAAATAAGTCAAAGCTTAATTAAAAGACTACGTTAACTTCCATTGGCTTGGTATATTCGGAAATGCAAGATAAATGGATAATGATCGATCTACATGTGTGAATAAGGCCGTCTCAGGTATAACGGACAACTCTAGTTATATAACGGACACGTGCCAGAGTAGTATTGGTTTGTATGAGATGCCAATATATGCACTATGGTCAAACTAGGGTTTATCTTGAAGTTTTTGTGCGTTGGCAGATGGGAAACGACTTTCACGTTACATTTAATGGTTATTTGGTGTCGTCATGCATGATATGGTACCTAGAGGGTGTTTAATTGATTATTATGGAAAGTTCGATTCATTTTTTATTAATTCAAAATTTCTACTAGAATTTTTAAATTAAAAACTAATAAAAGAATGCATTTTTCTACAAAATTTTTTGTACCTCCACTCACATATTTATAATTAACGATTACTATATGTAGTATATTTTATCTGAGCACACTAATTGTGTCACTCTTATATTTTTCATATTTTATGCTATAAGAAATCATTAAATATTCCAGTTAATTTTTTGTTTCATAATATTTCTTTTAAATAAATCCAGTTGTACCCTTAAGACCAATTCTTTGTCCAAATAAAAAAATAATAATTATTTATGCTTAAATAATGCCCAAGCTTTATTGTATGATTTTTTTTCTATAGTTCTTCACTCTTACAACCGACTTAAATTGCCTTGGTATTTAGTATTTACAGATATAAAAATACCCTTTAAGCTTCCTAATGACTGATATAATTTCACATTTATCTCCACCTTCATGCATCTGTAAGCTCCCATAATAATTAAGATACAATTTCACATTTATCTTCACCTTCATGCATTATGCAAATTTTTAGAACTTAACCAACTGAATACATGATGAAGACTTTTGGTTATGGTGTAGGATTGTTAACGAACCCTACATTCGTTAATAAAACAAGTTCAAGTTCATACATATTCGACAAAATTAAACTTGCTTATTGTTTGTTAATAGAGCATAATTTGAACTAAAAATTAAACTTATTTAATAATCGAACGAACACTAATTCGTAGCGAACATTCTAAAATAAAATAAAATGATATTTTGAATATATGAATTCACCTCCAAACTTGACATCAATTTTTTAGGCTTAAAGAACGTAAAAAGTTATAACTAAAGCTTAGGTAATAGGTAAAAAAAAAAAAAAAAAAAAGCTTAGGTACTATGGTAAATAGTACCAACAAATGATAATACTAGTAGCACTTTTACAGATAGCTATTAGCTAGGGTTTCATTGTACAAACTGACAAGTGTACAACCACACATTTCAAAATGGCTGACTTCTTGTTTGTTTGTCTGTATGCAATGTATATCATACACTGGAACTATATTTTCTATTATGGTTATAGAATTACAAAATTCTGCTTTTTAATTCAATCTCCTTTTATTCAAAAATGTTACCACAAATACACATCATGTCACGTGATAAGAATTTGGATACTTAAAGGAAATCCACTTTCATCAAAATAGTTATCATCAAATTAACAATGTTCAACATATAAATATAAAGAACATGAATGTTAATAATTTTTACTTACCTTTTGTTACTAAAAGCAGAATTTTTGTAGATGTATTTTTTTTAGTTTTCTTATATTTTTTTTTTAATTTCTATCTTTGTTATCACCATTAAAGATATATTTTTTTCTATTGAGTTAATTAATATGTCGGGTAGTATAAAATTAAAGGATGGCTCTAGACAAACAAATAAGTGTAAGAATGTAATTGATTTACATGTGTACTATATTATTTTAAAGTTCAATTCGGGTATTGACTCCAGATAGTCCAATCACAAGGTCAGTTTTAGAACTAATATAGACTTCATGATGAGTTCACATTAATCAGTTAGTTAATCCTTACAAGTTTATGTGAACAATTAGCTGCCCTTTTCATATGAAAGATGAAAGTTAGTGATAATGCCTTTCCTAAACTTTTTATCAGGGGAAAATTTTAAAATTGGTCCTATAATTTGGCCACTGTCTAAAAAATCACTCCGATATTGACCACTTTCAATTTAGGTCCTATAATTTTTCGATTTCATCAATTTTGGTCATTTTTTATCCGCACCCTGGTTTAAACCAAAGAAGGATATATTAAGAGTGACAGAACTAAACATATCCCACCAAAGTTCTTCTCATACACTCAAGAGCGTGAAAGGAACAAACAGATCAAAATTCAATACATCCGATCAAGTGATAATGCCGAAGATTTATTTACGAAGGTGCTCCCAACTACAACATTCCGAAAGCACGTTCATAACATTGGAATGATACATATTCGAGATTTGCACAGATGATAACTCAAGGGGGAGCTTGTGCGGCTGTACTCTTTTTTCATTATTTCGGTTTTTTTCCCATATGGTTTTTCTTGATAAGGTTTTTAACGTGGCAGCATAAACACACATTTAATAGTGGTAATTCCAAGGGGGAGAATTATAAACAAGTGGAATGTACCACTATTCATGAATAGTAATGTGATTAGTAAGGAGTATGAGATGTTAATAATTTGTGTAGAATTGTCGGTAGAATTTTTCTATAAAAAGCACACCAAATGAAGTAAAAGAATACGCATTCAGAAGAAAGAAGAAAAATTGAGTATAAGTTATATTCGGTTTCTATATTGTGTTCTTTATCTTTTCGTTTTTATAACATGTGAATGTTATATATTTTCCGCATTCTATATAGTTTTCAAATAGTATATTAGAAGTTATAAAAAATTTAAAGAATGCGAATAGTGCATGGCGTCGGTTTGTGGATAATGAGAATGGTTTTCTCGGCTTAAGGACACCAAGAGTCTCATCTCAAATTTTTTTTTCCATAATACGATCATTTTGTAACAATTCCATTTTTGTATTCACACAACTTTTTTATGTTAAATCAACTTTTTTTTCTATGAACGTTTCAGATTATTTTTAATTTATGTTATGTTAAATCAACTTTTTTTTTTCTATAAACTCTTCAGATTATTTTTAGTTTATTTTTAGTTTATGTTATGTTAAATCAACTTTTTTTTTCTATGAACTTTTCAGATTATTTTTAGTTTATTTTTGGTTTATGTTAGGCTTATTACATTATCCCTATAGTTTATCTTAAGTTTATTATCAGATTTTTACTAAATTAAAAAAACAAATAGACAATAAATTCATATACCAAATAAAACTAAAAATAAACTACAAATAAGACAAAAAAATACATAGTGGATGGATAAATATCAATTATTCTCAAAATCGTTCAGAATACATGTATATCTCACATACTTATAAACAAACTCAATATTCAGTACGCCCAACGAGCATCGCGATCCCGGCAGATCTTCGAACACCATCCCAACCCGCGAAGAATTTGGTTATCTGCTTGGTTTGTATGTCGGTTTTTGAGCCGTTGAAATTCCGTCACCAATTTTCCAACTCATTGGCATCGAGATCTGACGAGAATTGAGTAAAAAAAAAAAAATCAAAGTCTTTGTTTCAAAAATCAAAAGAAAATTAATCAAAATTTCAAACAAAATCCAACAAATCACAGATCTGAAATTCAAATGTGAATCAATGAGATTCCCAAACAAATCAAAATTAATGAAACCCTAAATCAGTAATTGGAGAATTTACTACACCTTATGAACTACACGTCTTGCGCCTCGACGAGGTATATTCCGAGCCTCAAGGCGGCTGGCGGCGGGCGGCGGGAGGAAGGGGTCGAAGAGGGAAAGGACCTCGCATAACGGGTGACGTTGACGAAGGTTCTAATGGAGCTGAGGATGGAGAATCCCCACTGGCGGTGCGTGGCGAAGCGAAGGAGGGAAAGGACGCATTGTGATGATGATGGCGGCGTTGATTCTTCCACCCTATCAAGAAAAAATGGGGAGGAATGCTATTAATCTAAATTGAAGTCAAGTGGAACCAAATGAATGTTATTCTCGTTCCAAAGGTAAATAAAAATCAAGTTTGGTATTAATTTTTTTAATCGTAAATAGGGAGTAAAACTTCTACGGTACCGTCCAGAAGATAATTTTCTCGAAAATAAATATAAATATTTGGCGTTTTGGGTCGGAGAGCTCCGTTTCTATAAACCATAAACAAAATCCAGCAAATAAATACAGAAGCCCGTAAACCGGCCCAATAGTCATCAGCCTTTCCATGAGAAGATTCTCGAATTCCTTTGGCGTACATGATTTGATTGATTTCCCATTTTACCCCTGACCTCATCCTCACTATAGAAAAAAGGCAGCAGGCGCAACCCGCCATCGTCTTCTTCAATCACGCCACACCACACCATTCACCACCAGCAATGGACCGTATCCCTTACGCTACACCTGATCTCGGTGGCGATGAAGACGGACGCATGTTCGGCCCGCGTTATACCGGCGCCTACAACCCTTACGGTTTGATTCTTTCTTCTCTGTATCCATTTTCCTTTTTCTGCATCTATCTTTGAGTTCTTTTTTTTTTCTTTGTGCGTGTGTTTGGATAAACTCGAGATTCGACTTTTAGGAGTCCAGATCTGTTTGTGTTTTTTTGCAATTTGTAGCTGTAGCTTGAGTACGACTGTACGAGCTCCTTTGGGTTTTTTCCTTTTTCCTTTCCCATTTCAGTTTTCTGTTCTGTTTTGGATCTGTTTTTTTCCCGTCGTTGTGTGTTTTCCGGTGTTTTTTGACTGTGTTTTACTGAACCTTGCGTCTGTGCGTAGGTACGGCGTACGAAATCCCTGGCCAAGCGGCGGGGTCCCCTTCTGCTGACTCCCACGGCCGCGGGTACAAGGTGAGGGCTACAGCGGAGGGCATGCACCTGGCGGTGTACATGCCGGGAGTGAAGAAGGAGAACGCAAGGGTGTGGGCCGAGAACGACGAGCTGCATATCGTGGGCAAGAAGAAAGATTTCGAGGACGAAGAAGAGATCTCCCTGGGCTACCGCATCGGAAATGTGCCGGCGACCGTGTGCAAGCTGAGGGAGATCACTGCGGAGATGAAGGATGGGCTTCTCAAGATCTTCATTCCCAGGATCCACCAGGTCGAGGAGGAAGCCAATGATGGCTGGCGCGTGCCTGTTGAGTGATATGAAGGACGGTATTTCTTTTTTTTTTTTCTGATGTGAAAGTTATTTTAAAGAATTTGGCAGTGAAGAATTTGGCACGATGAGTAGGATATTCTGTTCTGTTGGTTACCTTGATTTGTTTCTGATTATTGTTGTTTAATATTTGTTTTTAGTTTATTAATTCTCTCCTAATTTTATTATAGGCAGTAATAAGTATACAATTATTACTGTAATATCCAACTAAACATGCCTCTTATGAGTTAATTATTTTCCTAAAATATTGCGGTGTAAAATATTGTACTCCCTCCATTTTGAAATATAAGGCGTATAAAGATTTCTCATTTTTTTTGAAATATAAGGCGCGCTCAAAAATCAAGATAAATTTTTGCATTTTTTTTCAAATATACCCTCATTGTGTTGAAATTAAGGAAGTGTGGAGTGGTTGTGATTAAAGTAAATAAGATTAATTTAGTCAATTTATTCATTAATTAATGTCTCTTTAATATTTGTGCAATAAGCTTAAATGCCTTATATTTCAAAATGGAGGGAGTATAATTAGCTGATTCACTTGCTTTTAGAGTCAACTAAATGTCAAATTCATAAATGTTTGTGTGGTATTAGCATATTGAGGAATTTCTCTCGTGGAATATTGATTTTTATCAGTTTATTTTTGAGTCAAAGTGTACTGTACTATTGCCTGCGGTAACGTATGCGGTTATGCGTGAAAAGTAAGGCACAAAAATTCGAAATCCGCATGACAATCGTCAAAAAACATGGACGAAAAATGGGAATATGGAGTCCCCTGAATTTTTTTCCATTGAGTAAAAAATAAATAAAAAATGCATTCGTAATTTAGTTTTCTTTTAACTTATTGTTTCGGTCATTGAACATTAGTTTTTGACCTAATTACGTTGTTTCAAACACTAATTAGATATTAATTTAAGTCTTAAAGGACTTAATTATGGACACTAACTAGATATTATTATAAGGTTTAAAGAACTCAGTTATGGATAAGTTTTTTTTATGGAAAATAGTGTTTTAATTTATATTCTATATTCTATTGCATAACGTCATCTAATGAAATAATTATTGAAATAAATGAAACATTAATTAAAATACGATTTTGGAAGGAAAAAACCTTTAACAACTTAATATAGTCATGACTCATCTATATATATATAATAAGAATTAACATTTATCATAAATGGTAGTAAGGAAAAGTCAACCACATTTATTATATACTATTTTCAGCAACTTTTACATTTTATATTTTAATTTTAATTCATTATCAAAAAATTGGATGGTTCCTAAATTAATGGGTTTTAAATGCACGTATCATGTTTCAAAAATTATAAATCATTTAAAATCGAAGGGTTCATAAATTAATAGTTACAAACTTTTCAAAGTTGTAATCTTTATGGCATCTTTCCCTTTTAACTTTTAATAATAAAATTATTTTAAATATATTCTAATCTAAAAATTCAATCATGTTAAATATATATATATATATATATATATATATATTGAACGTTAAAAATATTTTTTAAATTGCATACCCAATCAATTAATCTTAATTTTTTTAAAATTACTATGTTTATTTTTTATTAATATGCATAAAATAAAAATAAATAGTTCATCTTTGGATATATAATTTATAATTTTAATATACTATCATTTGGTGTAGACATATGAATAATAAAATATTTTTATTTCATAAAATTAAATATTATATTTAAAGAAAATAAGGAAATTACTTTGGATCAATCGGGTGATTGTAGGGTACTGCCCATTTTGATTGAATTACTTTTAGGTGATATTTAAAATAGTCAAAAAACTTGACATAACTTGGTTGGTCCGAGGTAATTAAGTTATGTATCAGTTTGACCAGATCAAATTGATTATTGAACCTAAATATAAATTTTAATATTGAAATACTTTATTACGTGAATGTGATGTCGTCCAAATTCCAAATAATCATATTAACAATACTTTTATGACAACATGATTAATGATTTATGAATATTTATATATCATTTTATTATTATTTATGTGAACAAAATATTTATTTCATTATCATTTTTATTAATGTCGGTAAATATAAGGTTTTCAAAATCGCACCGTCTTGTGGTTGTTCAGATTTTAATACATAATACTTTAATATATATATATATATATATATATATATAGTACTTTTTGTAATAAATTTAAATAGAAAGTGTTACTTAAATATCTAAACAATTTATAAATTCAAATGTTTAAAATAATTGATAAACAATTTATAAATCTCTATTTTATTTAAATATGTAATTTTATTTAAAATAATTTTTCATGTAACAAAATTTGTTTAGAAAATCGTATCGATCTTACCAGTCCAACATACTGGTGTTGGCGGATTCGATAGCAAATATTTTATTCAAGCGCACTAAATCGGTTATAAATCGGTTCTCGGTCTATCCGGTCGGACTGTGTCCAACCCGGTTTAATTTATAAATAATGGATAAATCATGATTAATGTTATTTATTTATTTAATTTATAATACAATCAAAATATTATTTTCCCGTGCATCGCACGGACCACGTACTAGTGAGTATAAATAGAGATACACAAAAACATATGTTAAGCACACATTATTTGATTGGGAAGACATCATTTAATAACTTCTCATTATATTACCATTATTTGTGTAATTTATAGTAAGTAAGAAACACATATACATTTATATTATTACATCAAACTTGTTAATGAATAGGCATAACAATTGGATATCTTAATTTTTTAAAGAATATATATAAGTTAAACATGAAATGTCATAATTGATAAAACAATACAAAAAGAGTATGACATTTCGCGGATTCCGTATAATTTGTTAAGAAAAGAATTATGCTGGATCGATCATTTAGGGGGTGATTGGATATGAATTCAATTAGTAAAAAACTAATTTTTTTTAACCATAGTTAAATTTTAAAAAATGTGGTATTGTTAGTTGTTAGTGGATATATATTTAAAATAATATTTGAAATAAAATAATTAAAAGTTGATTTGATGTAAAAGTAGGAGAAAATGATTGAAAGTGATAGTTGGTTAAAATTATGTGAATAGATGAATAGTTAATTAAAGTTGATGTGATGTGTAAGAATGATTGGAGCACTTATAGCACTGTAGCAATTTATATTTTTTTATTATTTGGCTACCTCCCCATTTGACACGTTATCTATATCTATAGTCACTTACTTATCTTAATTAACTAGGAGGCTCACAGCACGAGTACGGTACGGATTAGTTCATGAAACGGGGCTTTAGATAAAGGCAAGGGGCGTAGCGATACGGCGGTGCACCAAGAAAGTCAAAATAAACCATGGCCGACCCAATTTAGTTACTCGCATTTAACATGTTATTAGTATGTAACCCGTGCAATGCACGGGACAAAAGTATTAAATGAGTCATTTTCACAAAATTTGTCCGTTAAGTAGCTCGTGCGATTCACGGGAGATATTAAATGAGTGGACCATATGGCCTGTCCGTTCAGGCCTAGAAAATAATAGAGTTTGATCATCTATCTTTTTACATCTTTTTATTAACGTTATTTTTTTTGTCGAAACATTAAACCTGAGTCTAGTAGCGCTAGTCCGTAAATTAATTAATATATTATCTCGCTCACATGTTTATAATAATATAAACAAAGTGGTGTTCTTCACTTCTTTTGTTTCACATTATAAATGGAAAAATAGGAATTAAAACTCGCCTTTTAAATTAAAGTGGGCTAAATAAGTTATAAATTAATTATCTGATACAAGTTGCCAATAAGTGAGCTAAATAAGTTTTAAATTAACTTATGGTAGTTACCAAATATACTACACATATTAAGCAAAATAAATAATTAAATTGTAGGTATTATTCGGAGCTAGAATTAGCAGCTTCCGTTATTATGCTATGATTTAGGACCCAATTTGGAATTAGTTAAGTCATTCGTACTCCTTTAAAAAAAAAAAAAAAAATCTATTTGGGGGTGCTCCCAATAATTCCAATAGTAAACATTGAACCGACATTTCGATATACCCTGCCCACTTTAACTTAAATAATAAGTTTTAATTTTTTCTACTGTTCCTGAATTAATTTTAATTTATACTATGTCTACATGTATTAATTAAATAATTTCTGTATATATAGAGAGCATCTCTCTAATTCTGTTTCAACAAACCCCTCATTTATTTTTGACCCTTTGTTGCACAATTGACCTTTACATTATTATTTCCTGTCTCCTCCTGCTTTTACTTTGTTTTTCATCATTTTGTCCGGATGTATGTTATCAAATCCCACAAATTCTTCTCGTCCGGACACTATAAAATTGAGCCATAATTCTGCTCCTTGCACTCTCTTTCTCTAATTCCTGATATATATATATATATATATATATATATATACTATTTTTGTTGAATATAATTGAACAATTACTTTCTCCATAATGTCTACTACTTACACAGAGTTGACAAACACATTGAAAAAGTATGAACCAAGTTTAACAAAAATAAATGTATTTTACATGCTCATGTTCACACCATTTGAGATGTTTAGTATTTTCACAATGTTCATAGAGGCCAACATTAAGATCAATGAATGGGTGAAGTCTGTATGTTTTTCAATCTTTGTAGATGGATAATGTGCGAGACAAATTACTAATTCTCACTCTTTTGGAAGAGATTGTTTTTGGTGCTTGTTATTTTTCATAGTAGCAAATTACTACTACCACAAATTCATACTCCCTCACCGCCGTCGACGTTCGTTGACTAGCGGACGAACATACTGATTGAGGGATAGAGTGCCCTTTCAAGTGAGTCACATGGAAAGGCTAGACGATGTCAGCGACACCACTTGCCTTGAGAACCTCCGTATGGACAGAAACTGTTTTGGTCGCCTTTGTTTCCTCCTTGAAAATTTGGGGGGTCTTGTTCAATCTAGAAATGTTGCACCGAGTGAACAAGTTGCCATGTTTCTTTCAATCCTCGCACATCACAAGAAGAACGTCACCTCAAAGTTTGATTTACCAGATCAGGTAGAACTGTAAACAAGTACTTTAACTGTGTACTTGATGCGGTAATCTGTCTTTACACCATTCTACCCGCCACACCTAAGCCAGTTGAGGATGATTGTTCCGATGAATGGTGGAAATGGTTCAAGGTAGCCTACAACACAAGACCCTTAACAACGCTTAGTCAATTTTTTCTTCTCTACTTCTTCCAAACGAATACATTTTTTTTTTTCGTTAGGGGTGTCTAGGAGTACTAGATGGTACATACATTAACGTTCGAGTCCTGTCGAAAGATAGGGGAAGATATAGAAATCGAAAGGGTCAAGTAGCAGTTAATGTACTTGGGGTGTGCGATAGAAATATGAACTTCGTCCACATGCTTTGTGGTTGGGAGGGGTCTGCTGCAGATAATCGAGTACTGAGAGATGCAATCACTAGAGCAAATTGTCTCCGAGTCCCAAACGGTATTCCCCCTATTTTTATAAAATGTGTAAACAGCACCCACCCGTAAAACACTAAATCAAACATAACACAATCGTTTATAACGCAGGAAACTATTATTTCGTGGATGGTGGTTATACTAATGGTCCTGGCTTTCTAGCGCCATATAGGGGTGTGAGATATCACTTAGACGAATGGGGTACAGGTTCCCGCGCTCTACAAAACTTTAGAGAACTCTACAACCTTCGGCACGCCAAAGGTAGAAATGCGATTGAACGTGCTTTTGGCATTCTAAAAATGCGATGGGAAATTCTTAGGAGTAACTCTGTTTACCCCATTCGGACCCAAAATCGCATTATCATGGCGTGCGCGCTTATTCACAATTTTATACGTAAAACAATGCCCGAAGACCCCATAGAGAATGAGATTTCAGAATTCCCGTTACCTTCCAACCCAACGTCTGACGACGACTACATAAATCAAGTTGAAAGCAGCTACGAATGGACCCAGAAGCGCGATCTCTTAGCCCAACAAATGTTCACAGAATGGTAGGGCGGTGTTCCCTAATGGATAAACAAACATATTTTTTGTGTACACAATGTGTACTTTCTTAAGAATCTTCTCAAACTAAGTAATGGTGAAAAATGTTCTTATATTATATATATATTTTTTTATTATACAATATCAAGGTATTTGAATATGTTGTTATGCTGATTATCGGCATTAAATATTATTGTGTTTGTGTAGTATATCATTTTGTTTGACGACAATTTTTATATAGCTTTATTTGGAAATTCTCGATTACACAAAATAAAAATAAAAAAAGCTGCTACAACATTATTGTCGCTACAGGAAATTTGTCATGGAACCATCAGTCACAGCGGATACCAGGAAAGAGGGCAGCTCCACCTCAAAACGCCGTGTTTGGACATCGGCCGAAGAGGATGCCCTAATTAATGCTCTTAAGGAGATTGTAGTCGAGGGTTGGAAAACGGAAAACGGCTTCAGAACGGGATATGCATTTCAGTTGGAAAAAAAGATGAAGACATTTTTTCCTGGATGTGAAATTCGTTCTGACCCGCACATAACTTCCAAAATGCATGTCTGGAAGAAAACTTATGCGAGTCTGGCCAATATAAAATTAAATAACTCGAGTTTAGGTTGGAATGATATTTCAAAAAGCTTCTCCTGTGACAATGAGAAGTGGGCTTCTTGGCTGAAGGTTTGCTTTTAGTTAAAAAACCAACTCTTGAGTCGTCTATATATTTCACATAATTTACATTTCCTCATTACATTTTTTGCTCCCAAACACATGACCAATAGGTTGATCCTCATGCAAAAGGACTGAGGATTAAGTCTTTCCCCCACTTCGATGATTGAGAGGTAATCTTTGGGAAATGATGCCCAGACTTTCGCAGACGCGGCTCAAGATGTGCAGCAGGACCCCCCGTACCAAGAAGACGATGAGATCCCACCGCAGACCACGCAGCCCACAACATGTGATGGTGGCCAGGCTAAAAAAAACCCTAATTACAAGCATCAAACAAATTCGTTGCAATTGAAACAAATTTGTTGCAGAATTTCGTCGAACTGAAGCAAAACTTAATAATATTCAACACATTTAGTAAAATCGAAACAAATCCAAACCCTAATTACAGCCACACTACAGTTCACAAGTCTAATTTCAAAAAAATTTAGTAACATCGAATTGAAATATGGTATAAATTCATATAAGATTCTCAATTTAACGAAGTAAATTACCTAGTACAAACCCACAGTTGAAATTTGAAGCCAAAATCCTCCAAAGTGAATTCGCAAAAGAGGTCGTAGAGCTCACAGCAGACCCGTCTTTCGAGGTCGACGTCGTCCACGTCAGAATTCCGGTCGTTGCGGCTTGTTGTTGGGTCCAACGTCTCGTCTTCGCTCACCACTCCTTCGAATTAGGGCTCGACACTCCTTCGAATTAGGGCTCGACAATGTTCAGAAAAAAATGGAGAGGAAATGCTTGAAATCGGGGAGAAGATTGATAATAATACAGAAGGGTATATTAAGAATTTCTCGGTCTAACATATCATTTAATCCAGTGAAGTAAATGAAGGATTCATTTCTTAAAAGTCCATCCCTCAAAATAAACATGAGCTATATGGTGACATGTAAAGTTAACATGATTATTTAGTATTATTCTATCACACAAAATAAACGACCCAGAGGAAATAAGCCAACAATCAAGGCTGATTCTGGAGCTGACACGTGTGTCTTTTGTTTGTTGTATAGGCCTTTCTTCCTCCCACTTTTTACTCGTCTGCCACCCTTGACTTTACTGTTGAGTACCACCTCTCACACGCAACTATCACCGCCTCTCAAACGCAGCTATCACCTCAAAGATCAAAAGCAATCTTGGAAAAGCAGATCCTCTCCCACATGCACGCTCTCAGTCACAACTCAGAAATCCAATTTCTCTCCTACAACACCAACGATTACACAGGCTCCCGGCGCCGACAATAGCGTGGCGTGACGGATAGAACCAGAGCTGCTCGTGGCTAGCTGCGATTTGAACTGGGTTTTGTTCACAGTTCACTTCTCCTTCATCCGCTCGGCGCTCAGGTCTCACCTATCACAGTTCACTTCTCACGCCGCCCCGACTCGCTTCGCCTCGCCGCAGCGCCTCCACCTCAACCTCCTTAAGTCGCCGTTTTACGACCTCACAGCCTCGCCTAAGTCGCCGCTTCCTCCTCGGCTCTCGCCACTCACAGCCCCACAGCACCACCATAAATCGCTTGCAGACTCCAGAGGTAATTGGTTTTTCATTGGAGATTATGAATTAGCTTGATTAGAATTTCACTTGAAATTGGAGGAAAATTGAACTTCAATTCAAATTGGTTTTTCTAGGAATTTCTTACCTAGAAATGATTCGGGTCTAATTATTCCCACACCTTTTTGCACGATGTGAAAGCCTTATGGGATTTCGGCATGGGTTCATTTCCGTGCGTCTATGCTTTGTGTCTACCATTATTTCAGAAAAAAGGGATTGTGTGTATTGTGTAACTTGGGTTTCGGGTTAAATTTTTTCGCTCCTACGGTGTCTGGCAATATTGCTTTGTTGTTTGAGAGCTGCGATTTAGGACGTTATACTGTGAATTCAATGTCTTGAAGTATGTGCTGTTGTGTAATTGTTTTTGTTAATTTCGAAGAGCCGACTTTAGGTGTTAGCCTTTGGCAGACCTTCAAATGTAGTCTGCGTGTAGCGCGTTTGTAGATCTGTATGTCTTCTCTGTGGTTCGTGAGGGCTGCTTGTGTTGCTCATAACATGTTTCGTCTTTTGATTGTAAAGCAAGAAAATCTGGTTTTGATTTCTCTTTTTTGGGAAGTAGAATTAATTTTTCTCACAGCTTCGTCGTGCAGAGGAAAAACGTGAAGAAGCAGAAGCCAGAGTCCGGGAGTTGGAGAAACAGGTTAGGCTTAGAGCTAAGACAATCAGTTTATCAGTTTGAATTTTGTTTCTTTCATTCTGATCATCAATTGGTCAGGAACATGTTGGTTGCTTTAGGAGCGGCATGACTTCTTAAATTGTCGTTATACAATTTGTTAATGCTTGAATTTAAATTTTCGTCAGTGTGTTCTAATTGATGGTGAATTTGCCTGGACATCAAATCGTATATATATGTAGATTTTTTTAGAGGGGTTTCTTATTTCAGCTCTTTGCTTTTTCTGAAGTTGCTTGGAAGATCATAGAATATTATAATTTCGTATAATTCCGTATTAAGAGTTCTATAGTAGAGGGAGCAATTGGTTTGAGGAAGGAATGTTAATTGGGAAAGCTGCTAACAAAAGAGAAAATGAAGTAGTAAAATAAATTTAAGAAGCCTAAGAAATAAATGATTGAAGTGCCGACAACCAGTGAACTGTGCCTAAGCTAAATTACATTTCTTTGTTGTTTTGCATCTCATGTTTAATTGTAGTTCCATTATCCTTTATTGGTTGGAGTTTTTAACTTGTGTATGTCATTTTGTTTTTCAACAGCCGGGTTTTTGGTAACTCCTTTGTTTCTGACGATATAGTATCATTTTCATTTGATTCATTAGTTTTTGGTTTGCTTTCTTTGTACTTGTGCAGTATCGTTGAGTTGAACCCAGTTGTGGGTTCATGAGGTTGAAGATAGCTGAAGCATCTTAGAATTTTTTTTGTTTTTTTTTTTTGGAATTCAATGTGATGAGAATTATTGTCCTAGTCTTTCAATTATCATTTGTTCAGTGAACCATTGGATTACGATTGTGGATCGAGGTTTGTGTTTGAATATGGATTTTCACGAAATGTCTTTCAATCTCTTTGTACTTTGTCACCAAAAATTATAATGACACACTTAAAAAAGTGTAATGTATTGAAATTGCAAACAATACAATTTCGTGTCACAATAATTTATATTAATGACACTATAAACTACCAGTTCAATTTGAAAATTAGAAAGGGGAGGTTGGGATTTACCGACGTTAAAATTTTATATCACAACTCGTAATAATAATGATGCGTTAAAAAAGAGTTACTCATTGAAAATTACTTATAGTAGCATATTGTGTCACTAAATTATGTACTAACGACGCACTTTTGAAAAAGTGTCGCCCATTAAATATTACCTACGCATCTATGTTGTGTCACAAATAAATTCGTGACATCAAATTTAACAACGCAATTGGTGATACTTTTGCAAGTGTAGGTAAATTTCTTTGTGACACTAATAACTGTCACTAAATAAAAAAAATAAGCGTCACTAGATGCAGTTTTTATTGTATGTACATAACACTCACATATAGTGGGGTTCACTTGATTTTTTATTTTTGTAGGTCCCACTCAATGTGAGTGTGAGTGTTATGTACACCTCTATAAACAATATTATATACATATAACATTTATCTTATTTATTTGTTACTATTTACTTCATTTTCACATTTGTACTTCCTGGTTGTTCCCTACATGCTACGGCGGGGATAGCAACAGGTAGAAAAATTTAAGCAATCTCCAAAATTTGACCGTGCGTCGCGACGCGGCAAATTTAAATTTATAATTTTCCTCAACTAACCTCTACTAGCTAGTAGTAGTGGCGAGTAAGGGTCGATCCCACGAGGAGCAGGAATTAAATTGCGACAATCTCGTATTAATTGAATTAAAACTAAGAAAGCAATAAAAGGTGGGGGGATTGGTTTTATAAAAATAAAAATAAGAAAATAAAATAAAAATCTAATAAATAAGAGAAGTCCAGTTTTTCGGTTCAATTATCACCCAATCTCAATCTACCGTTAATTAATTTCGACGCTTTCTTTAAATTGCTAATGAATTACCGACCCTAGCTAACAACAAGCTCTGTTAACCGAATTTTCCCTTACCGAATATTTAATCGAAATAAGCTCTTCGACTAAACCTAACTAGTGGACAACCTAGAATAAGCTCTCTAGATTTAATACACTAGCAACATTAATTTATAGGAAAATAGATCAGTCTAAGCAATGGATGCAAAAGCTCGGACCATTTAACTTATGTTCACGCTACCCTAGAGATGCACGACCCCTAGTTTACTACTAACGAAACGAGACAATAACAATTACGGATTAAAGTCCTGAATCTAGCAATTAAATATGAATATTTAATCTAGCTGGCCAAACTAAATCAAACACCATAATTCATAAACATGATACACAGATAACATGAATCAACTCATCAACAAAAATAAATACGGGCGTTTCAATTAACCAGCGATAAAAAATAGATCATTCAATTCATAGACAAACTGAAATTAGGGTTCAAACATCCCCTCAAACTGGATAAAAACATTAACGTAACATACTAATAAAAATAAACAAAAAATAAAAGAGAAGAAAATAATATTCTCCCCTTGTGTGCGAGTGCGGCTTCCCTCCGCGTGTGACGATTCTTTCTTTTCAATCCGTGCGTTTTTTCTCTGCTCTCTATCTGCGGCTCTGCTCTCGGTTCTTTTTCTTTTTTTCCCGCAAAATAATGTTCCTCGCGCAAATAATTCCCCCACCAGAATCCTAATCTAATTAGGAGTTTCTTAACCACTCACAAACTTTCCCAGCAAATAATTCTCATTGTGAGTTCACACTTTGGCTACGTGTAGCTACCACAATTCAAGTCCCCCCAAGAGATTCTCCCTCGACTGCGTGGCGTGAATATTTCCGCATTTAATTTATTTTGGGCCCAAATAATTCTACTATTTAGGGCCCAAATATTTCTTCTTAGGCCGATTATCCAATATTACGGGTCTTCTCCATTAACATTCCCGAATATTCTTCAAATTACTGAAAATAGATAATAAAATAATAAAGTACATGAATTCATCCAAATAATTAATAAGTCAAAAAAAATATAAACGTGCGAATAAATTAAGTGTATAAAAATACACTATTGAACATATAAAACACACACATTTTCCGACCTATCAAATCTCCCCAAACTTAAACCGTTGCTTGTCCCCAAGCAACTTAGAACTATAAGCGCATAGATAGATATAAACTACGTGGAATATTTGCTCAGGGCCTCACAATTCACACATAAGTACATAGTTCAAACAACTTGATTCAATTAATCCGGACTCAAGATGAAATCATTCTAAGAACTCAAACAATCAAGTGTCAATTCAAGTGACCACCATAGTTCGCCAATTTCTAACGAATGTATTGATCAATGCAACTAATGAAACCCCTCTCTTTGCTAGCTAGTCTAATTTCTCTTTGTTTCGTGCCAATATCTGAATGTCTCGTTCTCTTTTTTTTCTTTTTTTTTGTTTTTTTTTTAAGTAGGGAACGGCAGCTCCGTCACAACCCGTGGGTTTTAGCCTTTCGTGATTGCCTAAACTACAAGAAATATTGGGAATTATACACTAGGCCCCCACGGATTGGCAGCTGTTGCAGCCCACACTCTTTTTTTTTTTTTTTTTTTTTTTTTTTTTAAACACCGACTTTCAACATCAAGTCACCAAACATAGCCAACATTGATCAAGATAATCACAAGCACATCTCAACAACACGATTCGATTCAAAACCAACTCGCCATAAATAAATCACAAAAATATCAACTCTCATGCTCTTGATCCCAAAATAAAAACACCTAAAGATATTTAACCAAATATAATCAACTCAAGCCATTTAAACTAGCACAAAACAACCAAATAGACCCTCATATCATCATCGCAAAATTCCACATACAAGTAACATGTACTTACACAAATCAATAATAACATGCTACGACATCAACTCAACAACTCAAGCACAAATATATCTCGCTCCAATAGGCCTCCCCAAACTTAGAGTTTGCACATAAGAGAACAAAATAGAAAGTAAAAGGAAAGAGTTCACCTTATCAAGAGAAGAAGTCGCGATAGTCGCACACCATTGGGTTGCCTCCCAACAAGCGCCTTTTTTTTTGTGTCGTTGGCTCGACTTATTGCTCCGCTTTCTTCAAGCGGTCCATGGCGGTTCATAGGTGGCCTCAAAGGAGGCATAAACCTTGCAGCTCCATGCTTATGAAATATCCCCTCGTCCGGTGTCGGGTGCTTTACCGGATCTTTTCTTCTCGGTGGCAAATGATCATGGTAAAAGATTAGCCCGGGCTCATAGATAAGAGGAGAAATCTCTACTACCTCCAGGATGTAAGGCTCTTGGTTTTCAACATGCTCGGTTGCTGGTTGTTTGAACTCGGATAGAAGAGATTGATTTTCAGTCATTCTCAGGACAATCGGCGAAGCTTTTATGTCATTTTCACCTTCGAGTAAGCTGTTATCGGGGGCCCCGATAGCAGTAGTAAATGCTACCAGGTTTTTATCGGGGGGGCCGGTAACAGCGAAAATTTGCTCCTCATCGCCTTCTTCTTCATTCTCTTCGTCGCTTCGATCGTTTATCGACTCAAAGCTAACTTCGTCCAGCACCTCAAGCTCCGTGTTGCTGCTCATCCTAAGCTCTCCGTCATCATCGTGGCTGGCTTCGGCTAGCCGACTCTTGGCTCGGGCATCCAATTCGCTCAATAGATCACTAATCGTTTTGCTACTAGCCATCAAAGAATTTTGACACTCTTCAAGTAACTTCATCAACGATGGACTTGTCTCTTGTTCAAGCGAAGGTTCTGAAAAATATTGTGAGCCTCCATAGTGGAATTGGGATTCGTCATGCTCATAAGTAGGCTCATACGGTCGAGAATATCGTGGATTTTCATAGAATGAATTTTCACAATCTCCCCAACTGTAATGGCCCCTATTGAAATTTGAATACGCCCAATCGTCTCGTCGATACCAATCTCTCTCGGTAGCTCTGCGTGCACCATACCTCTCGATCAAAAGTGGACAATCATCGGTGACGTGATGTGTGGTATGACACAGACGACATGGTTTCCTTAGAACTTGACGAACACTCTCAATGACTTCTTGGATCATAGCCGACATCCTAGCCTCACGATGTTGATCTCTTATTTCCCTCTTTTTCATTTCATAATATGAATCGTAAGCGTAAGCACATTCCGGGCTCCAATACGCATCCATTTATAATAAGTACCACCTGTAAAAGAAAACAAAAGGAAAAAGAAAAATAGGGGGATTAAAAGAGTCAAAGAAAAAAATATTTATAATAAAATAAATATTAATCTAACTACCTAATTCAATTAACACTAAAACAATCACAACTCAATTTCGCCACTCCCCGGCAACGGCGCCAAAATTTGACCGCGCGTCGCGACGCGGCAAATTTAAATTTATAATTTTCCTCAACTAACCTCTACTAGCTAGTAGTAGTGGCGAGTAAGGGTCGATCCCACGAGGAGCAGGAATTAAATTGCGACAATCTCGTATTAATTGAATTAAAACTAAGAAAGCAATAAAAGGTGGGGGGATTGGTTTTATAAAAATAAAAATAAGAAAATAAAATAAAAATCTAATAAATAAGAGAAGTCCAGTTTTTCGGTTCAATTATCACCCAATCTCAATCTACCGTTAATTAATTTCGACGCTTTCTTTAAATTGCTAATGAATTACCGACCCTAGCTAACAACAAGCTCTGTTAACCGAATTTTCCCTTACCGAATATTTAATCGAAATAAGCTCTTCGACTAAACCTAACTAGTGGACAACCTAGAATAAGCTCTCTAGATTTAATACACTAGCAGCATTAATTTATAGGAAAATAGATCAGTCCAAGCAATGGACGCAAAAGCTCGGACCATTTAACTTATGTTCACGCTACCCTAGAGATGCACGACCCCTAGTTTACTACTAACGAAACGAGACAATAACAATTACGGATTAAAGTCCTGAATCTAGCAATTAAACTATGAATATTTAATCTAGCTGGCCAAACTAAATCAAACACCATAATTCATAAACATGATACACAGATAACATGAATCAACTCATCAACAAAAATAAATTCGGGCGTTTCAATTAACCAGCGATAAAAAATAGATCATTCAATTCACAGACAAACTGAAATTAGGGTTCAAACATCCCCTCAAACTGGATAAAAACATTAACCTAACATACTAATAAAAATAAATAAAAAAAAGAGAAGAAAATAATATTCTCCCCTTGTGTGCGAGTGCGGCTTCCCTCCGCGTGTGACGACTCTTTCTTTTCAATCCGTGCGTTTTTTCTCTGCTCTCTGTCTGCGGCTCTGCTCTCGGTTCTTTTTCTTTTTTTCCCGCAAAATAATGTTCCTCGCGCAAATAATTCCCCCACCAGAATCCTAATCTAATTAGGAGTTTCTTAACCACTCACAAACTTTCCCAGCAAATAATTCTCATTGTGAGTTCACACTTTGGCTACGTGTAGCTACCACAATTCAAGTCCCCCCAAGAGATTCTCCCTCGGTTGCGTGGCGTGAATATTTCCGCATTTAATTTATTTTGGGCCCAAATAATTCTACTATTTTGGGCCCAAATATTTCTTCTTAGGCCGATTATCCAATATTACGGGTCTTCTCCATTGACATTCCTGAATATTCTTCAAATTACTGAAAATAGATAATAAAATAATAAAGTACATGAATTCATCCAAATAATTAATAAGTCAAAAAAAATATAAACGTGCGAATAAATTATGTGTATAAAAATACACTATTGAACATATAAAACACACACATTTTCCGACCTATCACAATCTCATGTGGATACATTTAAAAAGACAGCACAATTAACACGTGATGTCTAAATTCCAAATGGCCTCTCTCTGTCCCAAATTCTGTTACTGCCTTTTTCGTCCCCGAACGCCGCCTGACAAAAAATTAGCATTCCCAATTTTCTCTTTATTTTAGTTTATTTGTGTCCATGAAAATTGTTAACATTAAAAGTGAAAAAAAAAAAAAAAAAATGGTGATAAGCTAAATTACACACCTGATTTCCCTTTTGTGGGGGACTTGGCATATCCCAAGTGCTTCTTTGGTGAAGGTTCCCTCTGCACAAATTACATGTGGTTTATTGATTATTTTGAATCGAATGGTAAAAAAATAAAGAATGAAAAACAGAGAAAATAAATGCATAAACAAATAATTAAAAGATTATTAGAGCACTAAAGTGTGTATCAATCATCAAACTGCATGTACCTCAAAATGTTCCACTGAGCTATAATGATTTTGATTAGGACCTACATTGTCCTGAAAATTAATATAAACCATGCACACAAATGAGAACTATATAACATTAAGAAACACAATTAAACAAAAACTTATGTGAGTAACATATGTACAAACAATTCTTATTTTTATTTTTTTAATGAACTTGCCTGATAGAAATGTAGGAAATGTGAAGTGGCAGTGTCATCCAGACAAAATTGGCTATGCTTCTCATCCTCTGTGGTCTTGTTTTTACGATTGCTCGACTTTTTACTTCCGGAAAACGAAGAACAATGGTCTTCGTTTATATTTGGTCTGGGGCCTGATGATGCATCTGAAACCATGGATAGATTATCATCATCAACATCAATATACTCATTCACAATATTGTGTGTTGATATTTTTTCGTTGTAATTTGAATCAATGGAATTGGATAGTTGAGCCCAGTACGTAGTCCATCCCGATTCGCTTTCGCAACTGTAATCCGAAGTTGTGATATTGTTCATTCTCGTTGNGACAATCCCTATTGTCCACTCATTTAATATCTCCCATGAATCACACGAGCTACTTAACAGACCAACTCTGTGGAAATGACTCATTTAATATTTATGTCCCGTGCATCGCACGGGCTACGTACTAGTTTAACTTCAAATCACATGCTTAATTATTTGGCTATAGAGATATCTTTTTCCCCTGCTTTTTAGACTTTAATTTCTGCCTTTGTTCACCAACATGTATCATGAAATCCATCTTTGATGACTTAGAACAGTTATATAGTCAACTTTCGTAAAAATTAAAAAATAAAAAATAAAAAAATCTTGAATTGTTTGTACAGGCTTAGGTAATGAAAGGTATCCGAAATGAATTGATGTAACATTGGTCCATTCTAAGAAAGGCGATAGTTAAGGATGTGTAGAGAGGGTCGAAGGGTGCATATGATCATGTGCTTAATTAAATATGGCAACATGTACAAATGTCCATTTGCCCTCTAATTTCAAATATATATTTATTGATAAGATGTTCTTTATTTTTTTTTTTTTTTATGTTTTTGTAAATAACTTGGAACGGAATTGAACTAAATCCAACTGTTGATGTTAGAAATTAGAGAATTGTATTAGTTGTTTTGACTTACTGATAGTAGTAGTTGTTTTGACTAATAAAATGCATGAATTGTTTGTAGAATAATATTTGGTAAAACTAGTTGTTTGTTATTCGTTGCTAGTGTATAAAATTACTTATAAGAATATTTATAAATTTTAATATTATCTATGTTACAATTGTAATTATTTAAAAGTTATAATTCACATATATTTTGCATTTTTTGGAATTTAATAACAATATAATTGCACAAATTTCATTCTTTAATCTTTAATGTTTCTGATTGACCAAAAGTAAATAATTGTTTTGGAGAAAAATAAATAATTATTTTATTTTAATTATTTTCTTAATATAAAAACAAATACTTCTAGATCAATATTTCAATATCTCCATTAAGTTTTGTGGTTAAATAAGGAATGATTATTTACACTATTCACAAGAATGTTGGTGGCCTTTTGAAAGATATTAAATAACAATAAATTATAATTTATCCTAAATATCCAATCCGCCAATTTACTAATATAAAAAGTTGTTCAACCAAACTATTTTTTGGCGATTTGATTTTGTCAAACCGTACCAGCATTTTGGGCTAAAAAGCCATAAACCAAGCATAGCCTGGTATGTGAACTCTCGTTTCGACAAGTACTATTCAATCAGAGTTGAACCCTTTTTGACGTCAGGCGATGACGATGAAGAATTCGCACTCGCATTCAACTCAAATTCAAGTTGCATACTAGAGGAAAATATTTGCATACTACCTAAAATAGCTATAGGGTGTTTTTTTTTTTAATATAATTTTTTTCAATTCATACTCAATTCACACTTAAAATATTATTAACTTTAACTCAATCACATTATACTTAATATTATTAATATAATTAAGGAGAATGTTACAGTCCCATTACAATATGGTTCCGTTAATGTTTTTAACCGTAGATACACATGTAGATCAATGATTTATAGATAATCTATGGTTAAAAGTACCAACGAAACCATATTGTAACTATAGTCTTCCCTTATAATTAAATAATAACAATCAATCATTTTTACACATCACATCAATTTTAATTCACTATTAATCCACTCATATAATTTTAACTAACTATTACTTCACATCATTTTATTTTTCCTTCTACATCGAATTAACTTTAATTATATTATTTTAATATAATCTCAAAATTTCACTATAACAACTAATCATACCATATTTTTTAAAATTAATCTTTATAAAAAAGAAAAAAAATTAGACCGATATATTTGTATACAAGCATTAATGTCATTGCAACGAGGGTAGAAAAGTGTACTTTTCATTCATAACTCAATGGGTACAAAACACCACCTTAAAAGAGCCTCGTGGAAATGTATAAAGCTGGATTTGTTCTGAGTCAGCTGGTCCCAATGTTTATTTTATGCTTGCACATGCACTAATTTTTTTCACGTGCCCTAGTTACATCCTTGGACAAGAGTTATTACAGTTTAAACCATATCTACCTACTTTTTCTAACTTTTGATCACTTCAAAATCGATCCTTTAGCATGCCAAGCTTTACATTTTGATCTTATGGAAGAATAGAATTTCAATTTGTGGTCCATCATATCAACTTGTGATCTGCTAACCAAAAAGTTGTTGTAGAGTGGCTGCAGGGTAATCAACTTAGGCCTCCTAATCTAGGTATTTTAATCTCTTTTATTGCAAAATTACGAATTTTGAAAATGAATTTACCATATTTATTTTTTCTTATTTTACATTTATTTTGGTTATGCTATATCTGATTTTGCACCCGAAGTGATTAAAATATTGAGATAATTAACGTGAATTGTTAAGGGGGTGATTGAATATGAATTCAAAAAAATTAGTTATTTTGTAACTATAGTTAAGTTTGAAAAAAGGTGGTATGGTTAGTTGTTAGTGGATATATTAAAATAATATTTAAAATAAAATAATTAAAGTTGATTTGATGTAAAAGTAGAAGAAAATAATTGGAAGTGATAGTTAGTTAAAATTATGTGAGTAGATGAACAGTGAATTAAAGTTGATGTGATATGTAAGAATGATTGGTTAATATTATTTAATTATATTGATAATATTGAAGATAGTGGAGTTGAGTTAAAGTTGAGTAAAATTTGAGTTTTGATTGGTAATGTAGCATTTCTCTTGTTGATATGATTATTTGAGATTTAAACAATTGGACTACATCACATTCACGTAATAAATTTTCAATATTAAAATTTATATTTAGGTTCAATAATCGATTTGCTATGGTCAAACTGATACATAACTTAGTCACCTATGACCATCCAAGTTGTGTCAAGTATTTTTTTACTATTTTAAATATCACCTAAAAGTAATTCAATCAACTTGCACAATACCTTAATTCAATAACCCGATTGATCCAAAGAATTTTCCTTATTTTCTTTAAACATATTTAATTTTATGAAAACAAAATATTTTATAATTCATATAATAAATGTCTAAACCAAATGATAGTATATTAAGATTATAAATTATATACCTAATGATGAATTGATTATTTTTACTTTATGCATATTAATAAAAAATACACATAGTAATTTCCAAAAAATTAAGATTGATTGATAGATTATGCAATTTAAAGAATATTTTTAGCGTTCATTTTTTTTAAGACACAAATATAAAGACCGAGATTCAAAAATTTTTGTTATATTTTGAACTGAGATTTTATAAATATACTGACCGAGATTTTAATGTTGTTCGTTGTTTCTAAGAAAAAAAATAAATAAAAACGTGCACACTTAATTGGTCTTAGCCAGATTTTTTAAATAATAAAATAAACTAAGCTCGAAATTTAAGGTAACATTTAATGTTGTATGATTTTTTAAAGAAAAAAATAAGAAAAATAATAAAACTTATTATTTATGGGTTGCATTAAATTTTGACCTGTTTTTTTGCAACTATTTTTTGTTAATGGTTATTATTATTATTATTATTATTATTATTATAGATAGATTTTTGAAACAATAAATTTAAAATTTGACTTAATTATTGTAAAATTTGAACTTGAGGAAAAAATTAAAGAGATAAATTTCAATTGTTTTGAAATTCGTAAACCATTATGAATTTCGTACAAATTGAAACCAAATAAATCGAAATTCAGTATGATTTGGTAATTTTCAAGAGGTTTGTTAATTTAAAGTGGCCTAATATTCTTCATCTATGGAATGATTTTATTTATCCATCCAAGAATAAAAGCATGTGATTAAATTTTTTTGAAATTTAATTTGAACAAATCCTTTATATTTGGAAGGGATTTTGAATTAAGCCTGATTTACGGCAACCAAAATGAGACAACTCAAATTCAAAGACAAAATTTTCGGATTGTTTGGAATCTCACAATCAAATTTTTGGAATCAAACTAGTGTATACCCCGTGCGATGCACGGAAACAATATTAAATTAACAATATTATAAATAGACCTCGAGTTTGAATCATTCAATGACCGAAGTGGAAACTACTATTGATCCTATTTAAAAAGATGAAGCAAAAAAAATAATTATAAATTAAAGAGGAAGATAAACAATACTTAATAATTATAAATTAAAGATTCGGGGTAAAATTATTTTGTTTAAGATAATATAAAAACTTTTGATTACACACCATTTCAAAATTATTATTATACTTTTTTGTATGGTTAGCTTATAATATTTGTAAAAATATTAGTAATTAGACCGATAAAAATTAGCTTCTTAAAGTAGATAATGGATTTTCAGTAGTAATTATGAATTGGTTTCAACTTTAATTTATTTTTTCTTTTTAAAGATAATGAATTTCTAGTAGTAATTATGAATTGGTTTCTATTTGATTTTATTTTTTTAAATCTGTATAGATAAGGGATGAATTTTTTTTTAAATACGGGAGACGTATGCAATGGGATTTTGTAACAGAAGAGATAAGTGTGTAGATTTATACTAAAAATAGGAAAAAGAAAAACAAATATTTATTGTCAAACAACGGTTTTGATAAACTAAAAAAATGAGCCGATTTTTTTGTCTATTTAGATTTGTCCAACAATTACTATATTAGGTTATATTTAATGATTTTGGCGGAAAAAAGTTTCTAAATTTATAAAAAAGTTATTCTTTTTATATAATGATAGATATGAGGGATTTTGAACTTAAAATTTTATTCAAATGATCGAAATTTTCAGAACCTAATGGAACCATACCCACCAATTTAGGCATCATTTAATGTTGCTGGAATTTTTTGGGAAAAGAAAAATAAAAAAGTTACTAAGAATGGTAGGTAATTAATGTTGACCGAAATTTGACTTGTCATTTTTAAAAAATAGTAATTATTATTATATATATATAGACACACAATTATGTAGCTAAACTTTTATGAATAGAAATAGCTTAATTTCTTAATTATTGTTGATTTTTTTGTTAAT